CTCACTTAGCTTGCTTGGTAAGCTAGCTAAGGAGAAGCTTGTGCTTCAAGCTTCCAAGCTTGAGAAGCACCAAGCTATTCGGCCAAGTGTGAACACAAGTGTGAACACATCTAGGTGGGCGGCTCTTTGGACTTAATTTACTCCAACCGGTTTTGAAATTGATAATTTGGTTTAGTTAGGTTCATCCAATGTGAATGGAACCTAGCTAAATCAAATCTATGAAAAATTAGGAGTAAAATGAGTCCAATATGTAAATTTTAGCCTAGGACCACCTTTTGGCTAAATTGCTAGTAACACTCTCTAGCTTGCTAATGGCACTCTCTAGCTTGCTAATGCCACTCCCAATCCTACTACTAGAAAACTAAGAAAAGAGTGTATTTCTAGGTTAGGTTAAATGGAGTCAAAGTGCCCAAGTAACCTACCCTAGAAACAATATACAATAGTTACTAAAAGGAAATAAAGTGCCTCTCAAATACAAAGGCAAAAATACACTTATACAAGTATCTACTATATACAAGGTACAAGAAATTAACTATACAAGTATGTACAATGGAGACTCCTTAGATTATCATTCACCCTTCTTGGTGTTACCTCTTCCAAAGGGATCCTTGGGGATTAGATTTCCATCAAATGCACTACTAAATACTAGACGATTATGGAGAGTTTGCTTAACACAAGGTCATTGCGTCTAAAAGATTTATCGTCTGCTAAGGAAAATGGTTTATAATAATAATTAAAGTTCTTGCATTTTCCTTTTCAAGATAGTTTCATTTAAGGATAAACAGTAGATAAAACTTTTCAGTATAATATATTTATTAAAAAAAATTGCGTCTTCATCTGAAAAATGGTTTTAATGAAGAATAAATAGTAGACGAAGTTTTTAACTTGATTTGTCAATAAGGAAGAGTTTGCGTCTGAAGTATAAATAAAACACTGCAATCAATTTTATACTGGTTCGCTCAACTCAGCTACATCTAGTCTCCTTCAACTGAAGGGTTCCACTAAATATGCAATCAAGTACAAAAGTATTGTCAACTACTTCTGGCCCGTTGACTTCACTCATCAACTCTAGTATCTTTTTATCAGCCTCTTTAGGTTAGCAATGAGTATTATAGACCACCCAGGTTAGAACCACTCTTGGTCCAAGTATTCTCGACCTCTCCAGGCCTTGAGTATTCTAGACCATCCTGCTCATGGCCACTCCTGGTCACGAATATTCTTAACCACTCCTGGTTGGCTAGCTTCACTCACCAGCACTAGTATTCTTAAACCACTTCTAGTTTTGCAAGTATTCTCGACCACTCCTAGCCCGCCAGCTTCACTCACCAGTGCTAGTATATTCTTATCAGCTACTTCTGGCTAGCAGTGAGTATTATGGACCGTCCAGGTCAGAACCACTGTTGGTCCAAGTATTCTCAACCACTCCTAGCCCACCAGCTTCACTCACCAGGGCTAGTATTCTTTAATCATCCTCTTCAGGCTCATAGTGAGTATTCTTTGACAAGTCCCTCCAGGCTTTACAACATGATCACTTTCTTTACAAATAGCATAACAAATGGAAAAAATCTCATGGTGATCATACAAGCCTAAATAATGTTCATTATTCACAAAACTCAAGAATCTTGCACCTTAACCTAAAACAATATAATTCAAACGAAAGGCAATAACCATTCACAAGATTTTTGCATTAACAAATGATACACATCAATTAAATCATAAGGTTTAGAAATTATGTAATCCATAATTTTCTTCTCTCTTTGATTGCATTGATCCTCATATGCTTCCACTTCTTCATGGTTAGATGCATAATCAAATTAGAGTTGTGTGTTTCTCCTTTGAGATATCTTCTCCACTTTCACATTGAATCAAAGAATTAGAATATAAAGCTTGACATTCCTCCTTAGAAAGCTCTTCTTCAATTCCCCTTACAAAAGAATCATCAAAATAAAATAAAGGGTTAGAATAATCACAAGAAAATTCATTTTCTTATTTATCTTTTGCTATTTGTTTTTCACTCTCTTTTTCAACTAATTTCTTTTCTTTCAAAACTTTTTTCTTTTTCTCTTTTTTTTGTCTTTTCTCTCTTTTTCTTTCACCTCTTTCCTCCTTGTTTTTTTTTCTATTTTCATTAACAAATTAATTTGATCCTCAACTACTTCCTTTGGTTAAAGTAGAGAAAGTTTTATCTTATGACCTTCATGTATAAGAGTGTAGACACCTAATTTTGTTTGGACCTAAAAATAAAGAAATAGACTTCTATTATAAAGAAAACGAGCTCCCGAAGCATATAAATGACACGATATGACATCAGAAGGCCTAAAGCCCAACGAGGGTAATTTACCAGTCCGAAATGAGCCGTTCCTAATCTGGAATGGGCCGTTCCAAACTACTAAAAGACCTAGAAATCCTAGTTGGGAACGGGCTAGAATGAGCTATTCCAGCACATGATTTTATGAGTCTAATTCAAATTTGGAACGGGCTATTCTGACATTAGAATGGACCATTCCAGATTCAAATTAAACTCATAATGAACTGATCCAAAATGGGTGGTTCTAGTCAGTTCTAATGTCTATAAATAGTAGACTTGGGCATTGCTCCCAAGGTAAAAAAAAATTTGTCTATAAAGTTTTATATAATTCAAAAAATCTCTTTCTCCCTCTTATTGTATTTCTTGAGATTTGTGAGGCACATTGTAATGTGTAAGGCATCCAAAAAGCGCCTAAAGATCTCCATATTTGAGGATTCAATAAAGCTCGACTAAGAGGTATTTCAGTCAATATTCCTCTCATTCTCTCACTTCCTTTACTTTAATAAATATTGTCCAAAATAAAAATAATAATGTAGACGTGTTAGGATAAACTACGTAATTTAAATTTCAAGTATGTAAATAACCATTAATAAAAAGGGATCTATTATTTAAACTATTAATTCTTTTACGTTAACTTCGTCATAGGGTACCGATTCAGGGCATTGTAGGGATGTTTAAAACCTTCCTTACACGTAATCGACCCCCAAACCCAATCATGGTTATCAAGGCCATTATTGGATCTTCAAAAACCTTTTCTTTTTCCAATGTTTTGAGTAAAACATTGGTGGTGACTCCTACAAAACATTTTTCAAAATCATTAATTAAGGATTAGTCTCGTTTCCGGGCATTCCCTAATTGATGAGATTTTTAATTGAAAGTCTAAACCATTGGTCATAAGATCATAATTTTTTGGGTTGCGATAGATGACAACTCTAATGGTGACGTTTAAAGAGGGTTAGGCCCAAATAAATGATGAAATTATCAAAATAAAAATAATAGTTTAAATATTTTTCTCCTTTACTTTGTTTGTTTTACTTGTTTCACTTTGGTATTTGTTGTTTGTTTAAATTCTCACACTTGTTTGAAATAAAACAACTGTACACAAACCCTTACACACAATAGTTCCCTATATACCTGAGGGCATGAGAGCATAATGAAGTTGTATGAAAAACACATAGAAGGGGGGGGGGGGGGGTTAAATATGTGTTTGTGTGTGAACAAGGAAATTTTAAAAAACATTTTTCGCAATAAGGCTCTCATTTTCGTCCAGTAAAAACGTATTGGGGAATGCTGAAATAAAACTACCCAGGATTGGTTTTAGAAATACTTTCTCAGTCTGGGAGTTTCATCGTCTACGTAGAGAAAATACCTCTTAAACGAAAACTGTTCTTTTAGCAACAAGTTGGACAAGTCTGGTTTTCATCGGAAGATAGTTTGATAGGCTATAAGCATTGGAAAAAGTTTTCAGTTTATTAAATTAACCAAATAACATGCGTCTAAAACATTAAAGCAAAGAAAAAATATTTTTATACTGGTTCACTCAAACTGAGCTACATCCAGTCTCCTTCAAATGAAGGGTTCCACTAGATAATCAATAAAGTATAAGTATTATTTGTTCAACCTCTTCAGGCTCGTAGTGAGTATTATAGACCACCCAGGTCACGACCACTCCTGGTACCAAGTATTCTCAACCACTCTTGGTTTGCCAGCTTCACTCATAGACGCTAGTATTTTTTACTCAGCCACTTATGGCTCCCAGTGAGTATTATCGACCAACTCTTGGCCCGTTGACTTCACTCATCAATGCTAGTATTCTTTAATCAACCACTTCTGGCTCGCAATGAGTATTCTTTGACAAGCCTCTCTAGTATTTACAAGTATTCTTTCCGTAGCCTCTTCATGCTTTACATATGATAATCAGACAGGTTTGGTTTGAGTTTTTGGGTTACTTTCATAGAGAGAATACATAAGAATGTACACTCACTAAGGTATGCAACCTTAGTATTTACAATGATTAAGTGTTTGGTCTACTCTCACATAGAGGATACATAAGTTGGTACACTCACTAAGGTTTTTGTTCCTAAGATGCACATGCTTGAAACTCCTTAGTCTACAAGGATGAATACACTATGGTACATTTGACTCTTTACGCTCTATCTTTGGTTTAGTTACTTCATGGGCTTCCTATCACTCTTCGTCTATCTTCTCTAAAAGCCATCATTTTTAGGTTCAAGGTTGTGACATATATATAGTCTTGTAAAATTTTCCCGTTGCAGGTTTCCGTTGAAGCACTTATAGTCATTCATGACTAGTTTGATCTGTAGACCCCTAAAATTGTCCGGGTCGGAAATAAA